TTTGATTTTCACGGGAAACAATCCTTAGATATTCAAGGAATTCAAGATGAGTATGATTCAGGGGTTTGAAATGACAGATGTTGATTTGATGTCTCATTTTCTTGGCATTGAAGTTGTGCAAAAGAAAGATAGAATTTTCATTTCTCAAAGTGGCTATGCAAATGAGCTACTCAAAAGATTTGGGATGGAGTCTTGTAATCCGGTAAACACTCTGGTAGAGAGTGGTTAGAGCTAAGGAAGAGCACCAATGGTGGCAATATTGATCCAACCTACTTTAAAAGTTTGGTTGGGAGTCTCCGGTACCTTGCTTGCACTAGATCGGACATACTTTATGGGGTTGGGCTGATTAGTAGATACATGGAAGCACTAGATCAATCACATCTCAATGCGGCAAAGAAGATTCTTCATTATATCAAAGGTACACTCAATGATGGTTTACTTTATTCATGGACTAATGATTTTACACTCGTTGGATACTCCGATAGTGATTGGGGAAGAGATTTGGATGAAAGAAAGAGTACTTCATGTGAAAACCCATATTTAAATTATTCTTGAAAGAAAATAAATAAATAAATAAATAAATTAGTTTTAAATTAACCAAATCCTATCACTAACAAAGACCCTATTAAGAATAAAAATGTTGTGGATGTTCAATAATTATTGTTAAAAAAATAAATAAATAAATAAAATAAAATATATATATATGTATACAAACAGACAAACCGTGGGCAAACAACCCACAGTTCTTACCAAACCCACCATCTCTTAGAATTTAGGAAACCATAAAATTTAGGGAAAACTTATTCTTAGAACTTGGAGAAAGGTAATGGCAGAGAGAGAGAGAGAATGAGAGAGAAAAAAAAAATACAAACAAACAAACCGTGGGCAAACAACCCACAGCTCCTACCAAACCCACCATCTTTTAGAATTTAGGATAGCCATAAAATTTAGGGAAAGCTTGTAAAATTTAGGGAAAAGCTTATAAAATTTAGGGAAAGCTTGCTCTTAGAAATTGGAGAAAGGGAAATTTTTTGAAAAAAAAAAAAAAATGTGTGAGAGAGTGGGAGAGAGAGAGCTAACCTCAGAGGGAGTCTTTAAATTGCATCTAGTAGAGTTCATATTTCTGCACAGAGAGTTCATATTTCTAGACTAAGCATAAATCATTACATCCAAATAGAGGGAATTCTGGTGGAAGAAGAGGAGGAGATTGAGGTTGCATATTTTCCTACCGTTTCATTATTCCATTTCAACCCTACCACTAAGTAAGAAAACCCTCTCAACCCTCTCATTTTTTTTACAATTGAAATTTTTCAGATTATGTACATTTGATACATTGTCTAAAACTGTGTTGAATCTGCCAACATGTTTGCCCGAATTTTTAGACAATTTTATACTCAAAATTTCGATATTAATTCTTCTACAAAGTTGTTGATAATTATGTCTAGTTCATCCAGGAATTTTTGCAAAAATTTTTGAGCTCTCTACGAATTTATACAAATTTTTAATTAAAACTGAAGCTGTATTGAGAATAATCTGTTTGAATCTGCCAGCATGTTTACCCGAATTTTTAGATAATTTTATACTCAAAATTTCGAGATGATTTCTTCTACAAAGTTATTGATAATGATATCTAGTTTGTCCAGAAATTTTTGGAAACAATTTTTGAGCTCTCTACGAATTTATACAAATTTTTAATATGAAACTGTGTTGAGAATAATCTGTTTGAATCTGTCAGCATGTTTACCCGAATTTTTAGATAATTTTATACTCAAAATTTCGAGATGATTCCTTCTAAAAATTTGTTGATAATGATGTCTAGTTTATCCAGAAATGTTTGGAAACAATTTTTGAGCTTTCTACGAATCTATACAAATTTTTAACTAAATCTGAAACTGTGTGACAGATTTTACCTTGTATTTGAAAATTTATTTAAAATTCTATACTAAGCCAAATCTGGTAATTTCTAACTAAAAGATGAAATTTGAGAAGTCTAGTTTCATGATAAATTTTTAGATTATGGGTTTGATCTATAAATTTAAGCATGGAATTAATATAAGGAAATATGACAAATCTGTGTCATAAACACCCTTGGAATTTTTAAGAATTATTTATAATTTATTTTTGGAAAATGCTTTCTGAAAAATGACCATAACATGTTAATGGATTATTCTGTAGATTGATATGAATTTTAGAGTTGTATAAGTAATGTATTTAAAATTTTACTTGCAAGACATATATTCTGAAATTTTTTTTTGAACAGGATAAAATCACCACTTTCATATTATAGTAGTCTAATTTAGTAAATCAAAAATTTGTGCAGGAGTGCGTTTATGGTTTATTTATTGTATTTAAGTTATTATGTTCATACCATGGTTTTAAGTAATTATTTACTAAATTTTGTACATTGAACTATTATTGGGTGACATGCATAATATTTTATGTTGGGAGTTTTTCTTTAGTTGGTATAACGTTATTGGTGATTGAGATTTGAATAATTTGTGTTTAGTATATAAATTAACCAAAAGGATTAACGGTATATAATGAACTACTGATGAAGGGTTAATACCGGGTATTCAGGGTGAGCCCTGGTTTTGAGAATTCTCATGTAAATTATGTTGCAAAACTCTAAGATGGCACGAGACTTATTTGAACCCTTTTCGGTATTCGGTTTTGGAATAAGGGTGGATGTGCAGGTGGCACACAGGGAGGTTACTTACCCCTAGCAGACCGTTTCCTTAGGGCAGACCACGGATGCCACTACTTGGGTATATAACTCCGGACGTGGGCATCCCTGGTAGTTACGGTTGGTAACACTTAAATATTTGACCAAGAGAGGGTTTCAAATTAACCGTTGCCATGCTTAGTGGTTGGTAAGTTAAATCTCTTTGGTGAGATTTCGAGTGTCACCTAATTTATTAAAATTACTGAAATTATTCTAAGGGCTGTAATTTATGTGTACAATTATATTGTTATCTCATGTTTAGAATCTTATTATCTTTCTCTTAAAAAGAATGGTAGGTTGGTTACGTTTTCTTACTGTGTTGCAAAACTCATGGCATATATTTTGTTGCCCTGGCGTTTCATGCCAGATTATGTCGAAGAAGGGACTGGGGCTGAAACTGGAGCTGCTGCCAATATCGAACCTTGGCTGACTTAGAGTCAAGATTTTATCAGAATAAAATACTGTTATCCCTTGTATTAGGATTAAACTATGTTGTGACGTTGTGTGTGAACTTGTAGTTTTATTTTGTCGTTGGACTTTGGCTTTGTAAGAACTTAAAAGTTCCTAACTAGTAGTTAAAATTTTTTTTTTCTAGTAAGTTATTGTTATTTAAATCTTATGACGTTTCAAAAAAGAAAAAAAAAAAAAATTTTTTTTGGGGCGTCACACTTCAAGTTTTGCTTTCTACTTGGGAAATGCTGCATTCACTTGGTCAACTAAAAAGCAAGCAATTGTCACTCTGTTTACTTGTGAAGCAAAGTATGTAGCGGCTAATGCCATTGTTTGTCATGCTATATGGTTAAAGAACCTATTGAAGTACTTGGGATTTTCACAAGAGAGTCCCACAGAGATTTTTGTTGATAATAGATCGACAATAGCCTTGGCAAAGAATCCGGTGTATCATGAAAGGAGTAAGCACATTGACACTCGTTATCATTTTATTCAGGAACATGTGAAGTAAAAGGAAGTGGAGCTAGTTCATTACAAGTCTTATGATCAAATTGCTGACATTTTTACAAAGCCTTTGAAGCATGATGTATTCAATAGATTGAAGATGATGCTTGGTATGAAGACTTTTGAAAGTTGGGTTTAAGGGGGAATGTTAGATATTGTAAACCCATTTTGGGGTGTTTGGTTACATGTGTATTAGGCCTTTTTGTAAAATTTTAATACTTTTGTATTTGTAAGTAAAATGTGCTTCTAGAACATTTTAATTTTTAAATTAAAAAAAAAAATAGAGACAAAAATACTCAGAAAGAGGAGAAAAACGTGTGAAAAGAGAAGGGTTTTTTAAAGCTGGAGGAGAAAGCTTTACAAGGTGGAGGAGAAAGCTTTGTAAAACTGATTTTTAGTGAAAAAGTGCAGATTTTTGATGCCCAGATAAGAGTTTACTGATGCTTTTGTTTTTCTGATCATTTGTGCTGAAAGTTGCTTGCTTGAAGCTGAAAATTTGTGCAGAAAATTCAGATTGTTGATAGCTGTGTCTGTGCTCTGTTTTTGGTCTATCTGTGGCTGTTTTTTTAATGATATTGTGCATGTAATTAATTTTCAAATTTCCCCAACAAACAGTAGAGTAGATTTTTTTAAATTTTTTATAAACACATGGGATGGTGAGGTGCAAATGAAAAGTTGTGGAGGTGCAAGTCTCACTTTTTGCTCCATGTTTGTGTTTGTGTATATATATATATTTTGTTACATTGTCAAGTAATTCTCCTTTTTTTAAAAGGAAAATAACTGTACAGTGGTACAGTGAAAAAAGATTACAAAATAAAAAGTATAATATTTTAATTATTAAAGTGTATATAAATTTTATCACTAATTTATAATTTTTTTTTAACCCACTGACAGATAATTCCCTTTTTTTTAAACAGGCATTATGTTATGTTTGATCTCTTAAAAGCTCCCTTTCCCTAATCAATTTAAAGTGGGACACACGTACCTGGAATCTTTGCTCGTCGTTAAAAAAACGCCATCAAATCACCCTTTTCCTGTAGTGATTGTCAAGTAATTCTCCTTTTTTTTAAAAGGGAAAAAAACTGTACCGTGGTACAGTGAGAAAAGATTACAAAATAAAAAGTATAATATTTTAATTATTAAAGTGTATATAAATTTTATCACTAATTTATAATTTTTTTTTAACCCACTGACAGATAATTCCCTTTTTTTAAACAGGCATTATGTTATGTTTGATCTCTTAAAAGTTCCCTTTCCCTAATCAATTTAAAGTGGGACACACGTACCTGGAATCTTTGCTATGTACATGTACGTTGGCTGTATGTCCACCCAAATAGATCTAACAAAAAATCCACGGATCACATATCAAAACCAGCAAAGCCATGGAACCAGCTCAACAAATTAAGCTGTAGTGTATGCATTATATAGACGGAAAGGAGAACACAAGTGGATTATTTAAGTGCTATGCTCAGTATTGTTTATATACGTTCATCATGGAGCGGTAATAGTCTGTGGCAACTCTGTTTCGGGATTCAGAGTTCCAGTCTTCTTGTTGCTATCTTTTCGCTCACCATAGAGGTAGGAAACAAATCCCCAAAGGGAGAGAACAAAAGAGACCCCTTTCTCTGCCTGAAACTTTTCGTGGTATAAAATAACGGCTGAGATTTCAGTCACGGGGAGGAGAACCGCTATTATAATTGCAGTGAGCAGAGATGAGGCAAAGAAGATGACTCCAATTGCGCCCAGATAAAAACACTGCCAAATTATGCCACTGCATACCAGCACCACATAATATGCTGTTTCCCCAAGTTCAAATTCTCTTGCCTCCTTCGGAATTGCCTACAATATATAGAGGTGTAAGTTGGTTTCAATTCATTACAAGGTTAGGTATGTCATTTTCTTACTTTTCTTGTTTCAAACACAAGTTTTGGAAACCTTGCTTTAGTCTTGAAGAAGTTTTTTTTTGGGAGCTATTGTGGAACCTTTACAAGGTATGGTTATTTTGGATTCATTATTCCTACTAAGTAAACTGATTATGTATCAAGTAAGTTAGGACACGAAGAAGGATTGTCCACAACGATTCACCCCAAGGAGGATTGATAAGTAGATTACTTGTGAGTTAGAAACACACACCCAATTCAGAGTGGGTTGGTTTTTCTCCATCTTGGAAAAAAATACCCCATTCCATTCCTAAGAGTTATTTGTCACGTAATAATGTAATGATATACGAACCAAAAATAATAATACAAAATTTATGAAAAATAATGCAATACATCATATTCATTCATTTAAAACCAAAAAAATTATTGGTCGTAATTCCGATTTTTAGTGTTGTGTACATGTGGTCTTGTGTTCGGTGGTAAATCTGTTTCATGGGTTTGAAACTCCACTTCTTGGTAGACTTTTCTCTCTCTTGGTAAGGATCCTAGGAATTCAAAATATAGTAAAAAAAAATTATAATTATTTAAATAGAATCTCAAAGTTCCGTGTTGGATCCTATCACTCTTAAAAAACCACTTTCACGTAATAAGGTCAAGTTTGGCACTTTACAAAAAATTTAAAAAGTTAAAAAGTTAAAAAATTAACATTGAAAAATCTAGAAATCCCCTAGATGTTGATTTGTGATTATGTATCAATTTTAAGCAGAATAAAACAATCTCAATCAAACAATCAAGACAAAGAGACACAGCGATTTAGCGTAGAAAAAACCACAATTGGACACCTCCAACTGTGATAAAAAAACCACGGGCAACAACCACAAGACAATCCACTAACAAGAATTAAAGGAATTACACAGGTATACTCTCAATTACCTAGCGAATCCACAACGCCTAATTGAACCAACCTTTATGTGCCTCTTCCAACCCCATCTTCACCACGGAATTGTCTTTCTGATGAGCCACTCCGGATTCCACCAAAGCTTCAGGCTCGAATTCTTCAGAATCCACAACTGAAGAACAACTCTCTCTTTTGTGTATAACAAACAAACCTTTGATGTACTCTCTTTAAATCATGAGTTGAAGACTCAATAAAAACATCAAAGAAAACAAACAAAATATCCCCAGATATAAACCTTAAGAACCAAAAAGAAGATCTGGAGGACTTCAATCAATCACCTAGTTTTGGGAGAAAACCAAGTATTTATAGAGAACCAAAAGTAATCCTAGATTTGGAAGAAAACAAACTTCTTGAGAAATCCGGATTCTGAGGTTCGCTCGAGCGAAGCTTTTCTGGCTCGAGCGAGCAGTGTATTTTTCATGATTTCTACTAGTGCCTTGGCTCGAGCGACGGATCCTTGGCTCGAGCGAGGAATACACTTTTTCAGGTTTTTGTATGGACGCAATCCTTGGCTCGAGCGTGCATTCCTTGGCTCGAGCGAGACCTAGCTCGAGCGAGAACTCCTTGGCTCGAGCGAGCAACGACGGACATGCAATTTTGAATGCAATTTTGCATTTTGCTTCGGCCGCGAGCTGACCGGGCAGCTCGACCCCCGTAATAATCAGCGAAGTGGCAATCTCGAAAGCATTAACATCACAAACTTCTCTGCATGGTTCAATTCGGGTTTGGATTCGCATCTAATAAACTCATAGCCTCACTGAAAATAAAAGTGCGAAAATAAATACAACTGAAAGGAGTTTTGTCAAACGGGATTGCCAAGAAATAAAACCTAACAAAAGTAAAATGACATCACAAGTTAAATAAATAAATAAATAATCATAAGAAATAAATAATACTGAGAATAAAATAAATAAAACAAATCTTATAATAAATCTGATAATAACAAATCCAATAGTAATAATAACAAATCTAACGTGTGTGTGCTGGACTAATAAAATCACAGCCATCTGGGTTATGTAGGTTTAGGGTGGGTGATTTAGCAATTTGGGCCATTAATGCAAAACCCCCCCCCAGGTTGTGTATATAAAAGGATGGGTGGGCTGTAAGTGAATAGAACGAAGGAAATAGAAAGGAAAAACGAGAGCAAAGGAACAGCCGTGAGAGGGTGCAAAAATAAGAACAAAATAGTAAAGGTTAATATTAAGGTGAGTTATATTATATCTTGAGTCACCATAATATATTTTATGTATGTTTTGACTTACCATAATTTATTTTATACAAGTTATAATTATTAAGTTATATAAATAAAAGTTATGTTTGTAAATATTTTAGTTACGTGGGTTACTTTCTAAACTCTATTTACTTAAAAGGAAACCCATGGATATGTTTGTTTAAATTTTAGTATATATTTGACTATAACCTTATAAGCAATTATATTTTGTAAGTATCACCACGGGAGTCCCACGCCTTGGGGGACTTAAATAACCATTAAATATTGGCCTTTGATTGGTCCTCGTGTGGCACTTCTTATTGTCACTGGGATCCATATAACCTCTGTTCCGTGCGGAGAGTAGTGCTACAGCTATTGTGAGAGGTTTAGGCTCTATATCTTTAGAGCCAAAGAATCAACTCATAGATAGAAGGATTATAATCAGGGAGAGTGGGGACAATATAGGCTTGACCGCTTGCGTATCTATATTACCTCCTTGATGGCAACCAATTTTGGCGTCATAGATCATTTTCTGCAAACACTACATACGTTCGTTATGACCCTTTAAGCTTACTATGAAGAGATTGAATTTAATTATCTCAAATACTTTATTCTA